TATTGGTTTATTGTTTTCAGTTTCATTAATTTCTTCTCTAGTTCTTGTTATTCTTTTATTCTGCTTATTTTGGATTTAATATGCTCTTTCTTTCCCAGTTTCCTAAGGTAGGAACTTAAGAGTATTGATTTTAGATCTGTCTTTTCTAATACATGCATTCAGTGGACACATTTCTGTAAGCACTACTTTCACTGCATTCCACAGATGATAAGTGTAAGTTTTTTTTTTGTTTTGTTCAAAATACTTTAAAATTTCTCTTGAGATTTCTTCTTTGACGCATGTGTTATTTAGAAATGCATTGTTTCATGTCCGTGTTATTCGGGAGTTTTCTAGTTATGTTTCTGTTATTAGGTCTAGTCTAATTCTATTGTGGTCTAAGACCAGGCACAATATGATTTCTATTCTTTTAAATTTGTGACGGTGGGTTTATGACCCAGAATTTTGCTTATCTTGGTCATCTTGCAAGCTAGAAAAGAATGTATATTCTGCTATGCCTGTGTTAGTTTTATGTTAGTCATTTGTAAACCAAAATGTGTAAGAATTGAAGAAGATGTGAAGATATATTTACCTTAGAAATTTTGTGTTACATTTAATCAGACATATTCTTGTTCCATAAATAAAATAATTAAGAAGTAAACATAAAATAAGCGAGTAAAAGCTAAAAATCTTTTTTATTCTTTTCAACTTCTGCTTTTGTTAGTATTCTCTAAATCTAGGAAGTAAATTTTACATTCTTTATTTTTAACCTTAATTTACTAGACTTTTTAAAAGAAAAGATATATCTTTTTTTGAATGTGACAGAAGTGGCAAACCAAATTATGATGATGATGAAAGTAATTTCAAAGAGATACAGACCAAAAGAGTTTGTACTTGTTTTGTTGGGAGGTATTATCCCTCCTATAGTGAGTTCAGTTTTTAGCCATTATTGATAGGGAGGTGCTAAAACCACAGTGGGGTTATTTGCAGCGATGTACTGGCTGCTAAAACAATAAAACCACCAAATTTAAGTGGCATTTATATGCGCGGCGTTATATTCACAACCACAAATGGCTTATTTGAAAGAAAGACTGTCACTTTTAAGAACCTGACAGCAGCAGATCATCAGGATTTCATTAGTGTTTTGTGAGTTTCTTTTCCAGTCTGACTTCAGGTTGCTGACATTAAAAAACTAGGTATGACGAGTGAAAGATGTTTGCCGAAAGGTGTTGGATGAGTCTGTAGCAAAGTAGATAGTTAATGTAATGCTTCCCAGCTATGCCCATAATTTGTTATATTTAGGGACAGTTTAGGGATACAGTTGTTACAATATGATCAGTACCTTGATTTAACAGTAATGTGAAGAAAGAAATTACTTTTCACCTTCTTTGCTGACAAACACAGCTTGCTCTGAGGTATATAAAACTTTGAAGGGTCAAAGATGAGGTTTGCAGGAGTATGTTCTGATTATATAGAGACAGTGACAGGGAAGAAGTGCTGCAAACTTGTGCCCGAGTGTAAATCAGTGTCTGCTTCTTTCATTGACAGAGTCTTGTTAGGCCAGCTGAACTAAACAGTGTGCTTTAGATCAATGAAATTAACAGTCACTATAAGTGTGAACTACTTAAATGCTAATATATTAAATTTGAGGTTTAAAGAAAATTAAAAGATATTAACTGTTACCTTATGCTGACATATACAGTAATTTTTAAAGGGAAACATTCTGACAAAAATGTTTGACTTTTGGGATGAACACTTCATGTTTTTACAAGCAAAAAAACAGGTTTTATAAATCAACTCTACTTCAATCTTCATTCTAATCCCCAAAAAAGTCAATGCCAAAGAATGTTCAAACTACCGCACAATTGTACTCATTTCTTATGCTAGCAAAGTAATGCTCAAAATTTTCCAAGCTAGGCTTCAACAGTATGTGAACCGAGAACTTCCAGGTGATCAAGCTGGATTTAGAAAAGGCAGAGGAACCAGAGATCAAATTGCCAACATCCATTGGATCATAAAAAAGCAACAGAATTCCAGAAAAACATCTACTTCTGCTTCATTGACTATGCTAAAGCCTTTGACTGTATGGATCACAACAAACTGTGGAAAATTCTTTAAAGAGATGGAATACCAGGCCACCTTACCTGCCTCCTGAGAAACATATATGCAGGCCAAGAAGCAACAGATATAACCAGACATGGAACAACGGACTGGTTCCAAATTGGGAAAGGAGTACGTCAAGGCTGTATATTGTGACCCTGCTTATTTAAATTATATGCAGAGTACATCATGCAAAATGCTGGGCTGGATGAAGCACAAGCTGGAATGAAGATATCTAGGAGAAATATCAATAACCTCAGAAACACAGATGATGCCACCCTTATGACAGAAAGCAAAGAGGAACTAAAGAGCTTCTTGATGAAGGTGAAAGAGGAGAATGAAAAAGGTAGCCTAAAACTCAACTTTCAAAAACAAGATCATGGCATCTGGTCCCATCAGTTCGTGGCAAATAGATGGGGAGGCAATGGAAACAGTGACAGACTTTTATTTTCTTGGGCTCCAAAATTACTGCAGATAGTGACTGCAGCCATGAAATTAAAAGACACTTGCTCCTTGGAAGAAAAGCTATGACAAATTTAGACAGCATATTAAAAAGCAGAGACATCACTTTGCCAACAAAAGTATGTCTAGTCAAAGCTATGGTTTTTCCAGTAGTCATGTATGGATGGGAGAGTTGGCCCATAAAGAAAGTCGAGCACCGAAGAATTGATGTTTTTGCACTATGATGCTGGAGAAGACTCTTTGAGAGTCCCTTGGACTGCAAGGAGATCAAACCAGTCAATCCTAAAGGAAATCAACCCTGAATATTCATTGGGAAGCCGGATGCTGAAGCTGAAGCTCCAGTACTTTGGCCACCTGATGTGAAGAACTGACTCATTAGAAATACCCTGATGCTGGGAAAGATTGAGGGCATGAGGAGAAGGAGATGACAGAGGACGAGATGGTTGGATGGCATCACTGACTAAATGAACATGAGTTTGAGCAAACTCTGGGAGTTGGAGAAGGACGGGGAAGTCTGGTGTGCTGCAGTCCATGGGATCGCAAAGAGTTGGACACAACTGACCAACTGAACAACTAGAAATATTTCAATTAAAAAAAAGAAGAAACTAGTTTGATCCCCAGCCTTTTAAATATGTGTATGAGACTTGTCTGTCTGATCGCATCATTCTTTTTTTTAAAAAAATGATCTTAATTAGACTTTTGTGCAAGAAAGAAATGTCATATGTTTTCAGTGTTACATAAAGACAAAAAAAAAAAGAAAGTTAGAAATTGGCAGAAATATTTTTCAAATTGTTATGGTTCGTTCTACAATACATCAGTAAGTGATGATTTTAGTATTGCACATTTGCAAAATGTTATAATCCATTACCTTACAAATTTGATAAGATACACTTTGAATTTTATTTTCCATCAAAAGAAAACCCATGCATAGGGTGTTAATGGATCAAAATCCTATTATCTTTCATCAGAAATTGTTTCAGATTTAGCTGTAATTTTGATGGATAAATGATTGGAACTGGCTACCAGTAAAGCATTGAGGACAAACTTTGAAAAGTGTCATTTTCTGTATATTGGGTAAAAGTTAAAAATGAGTATACTGAGCTTGCTAAAATTGCTTTAAAGTCTCTTCTCTTCTGGTCAATATACATCTGTGAAACTAATTTTTCTATTGTGAATGCTATTAAATCATAGAGGTAGTTTAGATATACTTTACCCCTTGTGATCAGCATTGTCATCAGTCCAGCCTAGAGTAGGTTGATTAGCAAGAATGATTCTAGTCTCCAAGAGCGCGCCCAGGAAGCTCTGCCTTCTGGTGGTGTCACCTTGTGCAGCCCTTCCCCACACCCCGCCCAGGGCTGATGTGATCCTGTCACTTCTGAGGTTAGGCCGTGAGAGGCTGCGGTGCTGTCCTGGCTTTGTGTCACTTTGTCCCTGGAAGCTCTGTCTGTGGTGAACAGTCCGGCAGAGGAGCCCGCATACTGAGTACTGAGGCCTTTGACCAGTAGCCGGTTTGAAGCTGAGGCGTTTGCCATCAGTCGTGTGAATGAGCTTACAGCCAAAGTCTCCTCCAGTCCAGGCAAGCCTTCAGATGACTGTAGTCCTGACCAGTAAGAGACCCTGAATTATAAACACACAGCTAATTTGCTTCCAGATTCCTGACCAACAGAAACTGTCAAATAATTGTGTTTTAAGCCACTAAATTTTGGTATAATTTTTTATGCAGTAATAGATAACTAATGCAAAAAAATAAGAAGCAAGCTTATTTGTTATATTAAAGACATATGCTATTAGTTCAGTGTGAATTGGTATTTAATATGAAGAATTGCTATTTCACTGATAACTTTTGGTTAAATAATTAAGAATTACAAAATGACAAAAGTTGCCAGTTGACAGCTGTTTTTTGACAATAATTGCCTATATGCATACTTCCAATGATGATGACTCATTTTAATGTAATTCTTTTTCTTGTTTAGCCTATTACTAAAATATAATTTTATGGGTCTGAATCTAATTTAACATTTAGGCTTACATTTTGTGTGATGTTTTTCACTTTTATCTTTCCAGTTCATTTCTACTTGATCTTACTAAAATATTGGCCCATGATGTAATGGAATTTAAAAATAAAAGGAGACAGAAAGTAGTTCTTCACTACCTTGTATATTTCTATTAGTCTACGTTAGGTCCCCTGTCATAGTTCTCAGAGTACCTTACACTTAACCTTATTGTGATGGTTGTCTTGCTTTATGGTCATTGGTTATGTTCTTGTTACACTGAAAGTTCTATGAAAGTCAGAGTCCATGTCTGTGTTTCCTGTCATACCCCCAGTACTCAAAACAATGTCTGGTACTTAGCAGCTTCTCAGTAGATATTAGTCAAAAGAATTAATTTTTTTGTATTTTTGTTGTATTGAAAAACTGAATATGAGGTATCTTTAAAAAAATGTATCTTTTTAATTTCCATAGCACAACCACTGCCTCTGAAGAAGATGTCTCAAGTAGATTTCCCCGAACAGATAGAAGTGGATTCAGCAGGTATAACAGGGATGCAAATGCTTCAGGTAATTTGGTCTCAAGTAGCACATTGGAAAAGAAAATTGAAGATCTTGAAAAGGTATGAATTACAAATTATTTAAGACCTATAAAATTAATATACCATTAGGATTCCTTTTTCACTTTTATAGCCGCTGAAAGAGAAAAATTGAAAACTGTACGGAAGAGGCAGTACCAGAAAGGGGAAGAAAATGAGAGGCATGATGGGAGCTACTGTGAGCGTTAATTGTACTCCCACGTGTAGTCAGACAGCAACTTTGAACCACTCTTAATTAGATATTTCCTAGACGCGAAGTGGCTGAGCATTTTCTGATTTCTTAGTACTGTTCTATCCAGTTCTGTTGATGTTAAAACTTAGAAATGGAGCCAGTTCTTGAATTGCTTAGTATTTAATGGCGCCTCTCATTCTGCCAAGGGTTATCTTTAATATTGACATATTGAAAACAGTCTTTGCCTTTGAAATGGTTAGAAGTCTATGCTAGCAGTGTGTGCTACTGTGTGTTTATTATTATATAATCTATACAGTTTGTAGACTTTGCTCTACGTTCTGAGTTAGAGCCTAGAGCTGCTGTGATGCTTACAACAGTTTTAAGAGTAAACCTGTTTAAGAGTATCTTCGTGGCTCACAGTGAAGAATTGGCCTGCAATGAAAGAACCGTGGGTTTCATCCCTGGGTCAGGAATGTCCACCCTGGAGAAGGGAATGGCTGCCCACTCCAGTGTTCTTGCCTGGAGAATCCCATGGACAGAGGAACCTGACGGGCCACAGTCCATGGAGTCGTCAAGAGTCGGACACTGCTGAGCGACTAACACTTGAGAACATGTCAAATGAATATTGGCATTAATTTATTAACCATGGGTTCTCAAGTTTGTTCTTTAGACATTCAATCCCTAAAATTAATAATGGTGCTGAATTACTTTCTGATTGTTGAAAGCATATCTTGTTGAATTGAAATAATTCCTTATAAGATAAAAGTTGTTTTAAGTAGAGATTGAATTTTATTCTTTTTTATAACATTATGATTATTTTTAGTTCATGTTTGAACTTTTACACTGGTTTCTGTGAGTTTAAATTGAACAGCTTTAAAAAAATAAATACATTGAACAGCTTTAAGGAATATATAGTATAATAGTCTTCAAGTCTGTGCACGCTCAGTCGCTCAGCTGTGTCTGACTCTTTGTAACCCTTTGAACTCTCACCTGCCAGGCTCCTCCGTCCTTGGGTTTGTCAGGCAAGAACACTGCAGTGGGTTGCCACGTTCTCCTCCACGGGATCTTCCTGACCCAGGGATTGAACCTGCGTCTCCTGCATTGCAGGCAGATTCTTTACCTCTGAGACATCTGGGAAGCCTTAATAGTTTTCAAGGGGGTTCATCAAAGAAGGCTTTTAAAATTCACAGAAGTTTGGACTGAGTTGTTGGCAGAAGCTGATTAATGAGACTGTCTGGCTACTTTCCTCTGAGGTCATAAGAAAGAAGCCAAATTCGGCTGAGACCTTTTCAGTTCAGCTTCACTTTTGCTTCTAAGATGTCTGACCCAGCCTAAAGTCCTGGGTACTAAATAAGATTTCTTTGAAAAAGGTGTTGCATTGTTTCTTTCTGTTTGTTTATTTTGGCCTCACTGCATGGCTTGGTGGATCTTAATTTCCCCAATCAGGGATCAGACCCACAGCCCCTGCATTTGGAACCTTAAAGTCTTAACTACTGGATGACTGGGGAAGTCACTGCATTGTTTTAACTGGAGAAAAAGTTTAAAAGCTAATAATCATTTTCAGCTCCTTCATTTTACCCATTTGTCAATTAACTGGCAGAGCCAAAAGTAAAATGGAGGATCGTTATTTTTCTGTTTTTCACAGAGCAATCTCCTTTTCTTAAACTTTGTATTTTGAACAAAAATTTTGAATTTCCTTCAGCAGGGTATTAGTCATTTAATATTAAGAGATTTTATTACTAATGGTGGTGATCAACTACAGAGCTAAAGTCATTGTGCTTAGTTGCTCATTCATGTCCGACTCTTTGCAACCCCGTGGACTGTAGCCCGCCAGGCTCGTCTGTCCATGAGATTCTCCAGGCAAGAAGACTGGAGTGGGTTGCCCTGCCCTCATCCAGGCGGTCTTCCCAACCCATGTCCCCGCATTGTAGGCAGATTCTTTACCATCTGAGCCACTAAGGAAGCCCATTTGAGTATTGGTATTTGTTAAAAACTTGGGTAAACATTGATTTAATCGGAAATATATTTTACAACTCCTGTATTCCTCTCATTCCCTGGTTCTTTCTGTGGGATAGGTTCCTCCTTCCCTCCCCAGGTGACTTAAGAAAGTCACTGTAAATCTTCATATATCTAAGATACTTTACCAGATTTAGTGGATGTATACTATTTAAGATTAGAAACAACTTGTTACTTCTCAGTTAATACTTTGTAATTTTATGTACCAGGAGGTGGTAAGAGAGAGGCAAGAAAACTTAAGACTTGTGAGATTAATGCAAGATAAAGAGGAAATAATTGGAAAACTCAAAGAAGAAATTGATTTGTTAAATAGAGTGAGTATTCACATATTTCATTTTAATGGTTTTGTTTTTTCCTATCAATTGGATGAAAATACATAAATATGAAGCAATTTTATTTAATAATGTGAACTGAATAGTTCATTCCTTTGTTAATGTCATAGTAATTTGTGGTAGTCAGGACTGTCATTTCATTCCACAAACTGATTTCCTCTGGCCAATTATCACTTGTATTTATGTTATTCTTCTGGGGATGAACCAGTGAATGGATTTATTTTGTGTTTTGTTGGAGTCTGGAGGTAAGAGGCAGCTTGGTCAGCGCCACACATAACACATACAACAGTACTGGCTCAGAGTTGCCTCAAAGAAGAACTGAAATTGCTCTTTCTTGCCATAAGAAACTCCATGTGTCTTAATCTTAATTAATTAATCTTAATTAATTAATTAATCTAGTCTTAGCTCTAATTCTAGAAGCAGAGAAACTAGAAAGCTTCATTATGTGCAGACTCATTCTAATACAGCTCCATGGCATTAACAGTAAGGTGTGCAGGAGGACGCTGAAACTCGGGGTTTAACTTGCTGAAGGTCGTGTGTAGGAATTGCATAGTTATATGATGAGCCAGTAATTGACCTTCAGGTTTCAACAGTCTTAATTTTAAGTAAGGTCTTTCATTCTTGTTGACTGCCTTTCATCTTGGTTCAGAACATGGGCATTCCTCTATTGGCTATAGAATGTGATTTAATAAAATCTGCAAATATGTTTGATGTCTGTGATGTATTGGCACTGCCTTAGGCACTGTGTTTATTAAAAAGCATAAAACACCTATCTTTACAGAGTTTATAACCTAATAATGATATATGAATATTATTTTATCATTTAATGATAAATCTTAGATAGGTCTCAGTTGTAGTACTTTTAGGAATCTCATGTCTTTATTATTGGTTTTTTGGTCCCAACAAATTACTTTCCTAATATCATTTATTTAGTTTGTGAGTAAATTACAAATTCTGTGTTTGTACTTTTAGAACTCAATTCGAAGACAGTATACTAAATGTATCAGAATGCTGCTGTCCAATAGTATACTTAGAATTCAAATTTATTTCTCCCAAGTTTAGTATTTTGAACGCAAGGGTAAATCTATAAATGTCTGCTTTTCCATTCATCAGTAAATAGTCTGCCTTGAAATTGTGTTTCTTCAAACTGAAAATTACAGTGGATTGTCTTTGTATTTATCGAGTGATTGTATTTATGGCACTAGGATTAACATAGACAACATAGACCTGGAATCTGATAACTTTAAAGCTGGAGGATAATTACATAGTGACTTTTGCATTTTTGTAAACTCAAAAACCTTTCTCTAAAAAAAATTATCCTAGAGAAACCCTAACGTAAATTGAACCAGATCAACTTGGTAAGCCCCAGATCTCCTTTTCTATGTCTCAGTTACGTCACCTCCCCAGATTCTCACTCCCCAACATGAACACTTGTTAAGATCACCCAAGGTGATGGGAGTCTATATAGAACTTGTGCTTGAATCCTTCTTAATGCCTAATAAGACACATGTTTGCAGTCCGAGGCCCCAGACCTCTTACTGACTGCATATGTATTTAGCCCTCAGTTTGGGGAAGGAGGGATTTGTTTTAACTAAAAACTTGTCATTTATGATTAAAAATTGGAAGGTTTGCAACAAACAGTTCTGCTTTCTGACTTCTCTTTAAAACCTGAAAGATCTGACAAGAGCTGGCCTGCATCATCATCATGCTAGTGAGGAGTATAAGAGTGCATGCTGCCTTTACCTGGGGTGCATATTCCTTCCAAAATTGTTTTCAGAAATCGTCCATGTTTCCAAATTGTTTATATGAATTATCTTTGAATGTGCATTTTGAAGTGTTTTTTTTAATCACCTTCAGAATATTTTTAAGCATTTAAAAAGCTTTTAAATTATTTTCCTTTTTGTTTCCTAAAGGACCTAGATGACATAGAAGATGAAAATGAACAACTAAAGCAGGAGAATAAAACTCTTTTGAAGGTTGTTGGGCAGCTAACAAGGTAGAAGATTCAAGGCTCAGTGTGGAAAAATATTTTAAAACTACTGAATGTTATGGTTAATGCTAGGACAATATTCCTATGCTGTAATGCATTAAACTAACTATGTATATTTATTTCTAGAAAACAGTGGGTGTTTCTTTTCAAAATATTTCTTTTTCATTATCATTTTCAAAAAGTATCAACCTTTTACTCCATGAATAAGTAACATCTTTTAGTTACTAAACTGGTAGGTTAGGCCTCTTGGTTTTGTGTGATATTCAAATAATATATGGTTTAAAGTCACAACCATCTGAATATATTGCATGTATGATAGTATGTTTTCTCCCTTAAAGAATATACTTAATCTTTGTTTACATGAATTCAGATACTTTTGGGGGAATTACCTGCAAATGCCTTATTACTGATGTGTGCAACTTTTTATATGTTAATGATATTTCATAAAGGTCTTTGTCTACTGTCATTTTTTTTCTCAGCTTATTCTAATCAAGTTAGAATAACATAGTCACACTTTTTATAACAGTCATCTTTAAAAAGGAAAGCTAAAAAAGTCACTTAATATCGTGTACTAGTTGGCTAAATATAAAATATGAGAATACTTGAATTGTGCTATATATAGTAAATTAAAATGTACTATTTTGTATTCAGATATTGAAAAAAAATTTAAATCACTTTGACTTTGGAAAAACATACAGTTGTAATTTTAATGTATAATTTCTTATGTAGGTACTGCTTTTTTTATTATTATTCCAAGGTTTATAAGTGAACATGGAGTATTTTAAAAATTGTTTATTCATCAAGCCTAGACAGTATGTATAATCTCAGTGACTGTATAAGAAAAACAATTCATATTTTTAACTACATGTATTAAAATCAAACAAAAATACTTATCCACATTTAAAAGATTTATATTTACAGTAACAAAGCAGTGCATAAACAGAAATAGTACTGAAATACTTTGCTTAATTTCTGACTTGGCAGATAACACTGTGACACAGCTGTTCTCATATGAGAAAATTATTCCCCTACCTCAAATTTAAGGAATTTTCCTCTTAACTTTGGATTTTTAAAAACAATTACTTTGAAGAATTATGAAAATTTTCCTTCATTAAATAATAATAGTATTTAGACTTGTTTTATGTTACATTTTCATGTTGAGTAAAGAAATTTTTTCCTTTAAGATACATTAAGAATGGTCTGTCTGATGTTGAATCTCTAATAGTACACCAGTTAATGTATTTAAATAGCTTGAACATAGTAAAATCCATTTTGGGTACCTACCGACTCATCACTTGCTGAGTCACTTCATGATTCACTGTTAGAAAATAGGGAGGGAAATTGCAGAGTAAATGGTAAATATCAGATGCTGAATTCTGAAACTCTTTCAATAGCCTGGATTGCACCCTCTCACCTGCCGCACTCCCTCACTTCAGAGGTTCAGTTTTCAGTAATCATCAGAGTCACCTGGTTGCTTAAAAGGCGTCCCTGAGTTACCACTTCTAGGTAGGGTTAGGTTGAGACCTTAGATAGAGTAAGCTCAGCATGTGGTGATTCTGATCGTAATTTCAATTTGGAAACAGCGCCTCGTGCCTCTTTCCTCCCATATCTTCTGTTGGAATCACTGAAATTAACATAATTTTAGCTATCAGCATTATTTCACCCTTTAGTTTATTTAATCATTAACTTTGTCTCTGGGAAACTTCTCATATTGTCCATATATGTATATATATTTACCAAAAAGTTCAGTTGATAGATTACCAAACTTGATGTAGTTGTAGAATTACTGCATAAGGGCATCCTTTTTGGAGACTGTTCCCAGCATGGGAGTAGTGGTTTGCTGCCCACTTGTCAAAGTGGCATGCCAGGCTCAGTCACTGGCTTTGGCTGTCCTCATCTCCCCTTTCTTTACCCTTGAATGTATGGCAAAAATATCAGTATTGCCTTGTTTCCCATCGTAGTTTATATATTGTGAAAATGGTGTCAGTATCCAGCCTTAAAATATATTAGTGTACTCATTTTCCAAATAAGAGAAGTATTTTGAATTTTCTGTTTAATCCATTGGGAAGTAAAGAAATATCTCATTTCCCTCTTTAAATTTATACCAGATATTAATGCTTTTAAAGACAAGGCCGTTTTAAAATTTTTCCTTTATTTTGGTTTATCAGGAACATTTCCAACAATGATCTTTTACATAGTGGTATGTAGTACAAATGCAGGATGGAGCCTGACACCTTTGGCAAAGCAGTTCATGTGCCGTCCTCCTTCCATGCTTAAAATGTAAATTTATGTCACATACAGGTTTTTACACTGAATACTGAAAAGCAAAGTAGGATCTGCTACAGTTTTCCTTTAAATTTTATAAAAAGCATTGAGATTTTTAAAAGGTTACTTAAATATACACTATCTTAAAATACTTGACTTGTCAATAAAGTGTTAGTATTTGTGAAATTAATAGTCCCATTCAGAAATATTTCTTATATTTCCTGAAAATTTATGGCATAATAAAGCATATCCAGAGTTTATGTGTTTATGATATTATTTTCCAAACAATAAGTTTATTATCTGTAGGATAAACATGACTTGCTTCCTTGATTTCTGGCATATATTAACTTGTGAATTAGTAAAGTAATCTGTTTCATCTTTCTAGAATTGTTACTGATTTTGTTGCACTACAGTTACCTTTAGAGAGGAAGAGGAAGGCTTTCTGGTGTGTATTTCTAAGGGAATTTACTAAATGTTGTAAATAGCTTGTCAAACCTGCTCAAGTAGTGTAGATTCTCATACTTGCTCAAGTAGTTTATAACATAGAAAATTAAGCATCAGTAGATACCTGAAGCAGTGGATCTTTTAAAATAACTTTTTAATTCCATTAGAAAGCAGTGTATTCCTAAAGGTGAAAATCCTACCTCAGTTAACACGTGGCTTATATTTTCTGGATTAATCTGGATTTTTATAATTAGAAACTAAGATGCAAGTTTTTAAGTCCACTTATACTTTGTGGAAAACAGTGGAAGTCAATGTAGTAGAATGTCCACATGTTCAATACTGAAAGACACAGTAGGATGGACCTTGGGTTTGATGGTTAATTGGATGTCCTAGGCAATATTGATATGTATAATGATGACTATGTATATATACATCTTATATGTATAAGATGACTATTTCACATTTTTGTAATTCTTTGATCTTGACTCAATACCTAGTAAGTTCATGCAGTATTGGCACTTATTTAATAACTACTCATAATGTTGTTAATAACCCGTTATAAGATTCAGGCATATGTTTTCATCTTGCAACACAAAAAAAGACAGACACACCAGCTTTTCATTGAGGAAAATTTACTAAGTGAGGAGGAACTAGCATTTGGGAATTAGAACTTTAAGATAACATGCTAAAGTCAGTGGTAAATGTTATATCTAAACCATCCCTAATATGTAACAGTAAACTTTCTTTTGCACTGGAACTGTGCTCTCATAAATAAAGGATTTCCCACTGATTAGGATTGTAACTAGTATTACTTACCTGGGAACTAGTGACACTTTTCTTTTGTTGTTTCAATGAACTGAAGACATAGTACTAGTTAGATAGCAAATATTTTGCTAATCAAATCCATCAATAAAGGCACTTCCCCCCATGCTGTTGGTTTTCTCACTGATGTGTAGAAGTTGGTCATTTGATTCTCAGTGTAGGCTTGAATCATTGCCCAAGAAAACCTGAGCCCGTGTTGTTTTTTTTAGTTTACTTAGCTAGAATCTCACAGCATATTAAGGTCATATCCCCACCCCCACCCCCAAATAATTATGTTTGAATATGTGAAAAAGGTATGGTTAGGGGGGTATGTTAAATTTGCATACTTACTCTTTTAGCAAGTATTTATTAATCAACTGGGTATACAATTCTAGATATTACAGAAGTTTCAAAAAAAATGGACTTGGACCAGCACTTATATCTAGCAGTGTATAATCTGTGATGGTATATAAGTAGCATTAGCTGGTCTAATCTGAATAGTTCATTCAAAAGTATTCCTTTTATATTAATTATCCAGCCATTGTATTTTAGTTCTGGATAATAGGTACTGTTTAATTTGCTGCAGCATTTACTGAATGGTGGAAAGACCTGAACATACTGGGGAAGTATCTTTCCATGTTTCTTTCAGATAATTATATATTATGAAAAGAACATTTTAATGCATTTGGAGCAGTAATGAAGTAAAAAGAATTCAATGTATGTCAGATACACCCAACTGCTGATGCTATTCAGATGTGATTTTATGCTAGTTTTTTTGTATACATTATTGATTAGTGATTTGTTTTTAGGTATTTAAACAGTTCACATATTGGCAGTCACTTTGGTAATAATGGAATATTAGTGATGATCACTTGATGGACATTTATTACATGCTTGTTTTGTTTCCCCTTCTGGATACCTGATAGATGTATATTACTTTTTTTTTTTTCTGGTGAACTTGTTTCTTGAAAGTTTTGACTATGCTATTCAGGATGTTATGCTTTTCTTTTAAATTTAAGTCTAAGATGTCTGCTGTTACTAGTAAAGACCATATGAAAGCTAAAATTTACTGTTTTGTTGAAAAAATCAGCTAATTCAGCTAATCCAATTATTTGTAGAGAAACATCTGATAATTTATTGATCACTTTAGTATTGTGTAGACAACTCTCATAATTCTCATTGCATAGGTTTTTACTGGGGTAGTCAACATGATAAAGATTCACTTCTAATATGCTTTGCATGTAAAATAACAAATATTCAATAAAAAAGTAAATTTTCATTTAATTTTTAACACTGGTTAATTTTTTCTTCCTTCCTCTACCATCAGTAAAACCCTGACCTTGAGTTTTATTTTCAAAGTTAAAGGACAGTGCTAATACTCGAATTAACTTTTGTGTCTCTTACTGAAAGAATATGCAATACTTTAAAATCTTTAGAATATAACTGTAGAAGGAATTGTGTTTTAAAAAACAAAAATATAGTATTAATAAATCTGAATAC